AATTTTAAATTGGGTATAATTTTATATTATTATAGTGGGTTTTAGGACAGGACAAATAATTTAATTAGTTTTTAATATTTTTAAATATTATGGTATCGCTGTTTTATTAATGTGCCTGTTCACCGCCCTGAGTCCCGCAAGGGAGAAGGGCGGTATATAAATCAAATAAATTGAAAATAAATTGAATTTGTTCTTGTCCTATCCCTGCTGAATTCTGGGAGTTGAAGTCCACCAGTCTTAAAGTTGCATGGCTGGCTGGGGAATTCTGGGAGTTGAAGTCAATACCTCTTAAAGCTGCTGAGGTTGAGAAACACTGCTCTAGAATGACTATCTCTGTGCGAGGGAGGGAGGGAGGAACAACAATCAGGATCACTGTTTCAAACGTATGCCATAACGAACCAGGCCGGTGCCTTATGGTCTTGACAGTCATCCTCTCCTCCTCCTCCTCCTCCTCCTCCTCCTCCTCCTCCTCCTCCATCACCACCACCCATCTCTGCACTGCACCCCCAGACAGCTTGGCGAGTGGGCCCCAGCTGGGCTGTCTTGTCAAAGACGCCCCCATCCTCGTGTCCTCCCCAGAGGGACAAAATACACAGGAGCCCACCACATTGTTTTCTGGGTCCTTTTTTTTTTTTCTGCTGTGCGAGTCTTGGGGAAGAGAAAGCTGGCGAGTCCCTTCCTCCCGTTCTGCCCAGGAGAATCTAAGGGAGAAGCAGAGGCAGCTCCAAGCAAGTCCCCCCGCCTGACATTTGCCAAGTTTGCAAACACTGATTAGAATAGAATAGAATAGAATAGAATAGAATAGAATAGAAAATATGGAATAGAATAGAAAATATGGAATAGAATAGAATAGAATAGAATAGAATAGAAAATATGGAATAGAATAGAAAATATGGGAATAGAATAGAATAGAATAGAAAATATGGAATAGAATAGAATGGAATAGAATAGAATACAGAATATAATAGAATAATAGAATAGAATAGAATAGAATAGAATAGAATAATAAAATACAGAATAGAACAGAACAGAATAGAATAGAATAGAATAGAAGCTGGAAGGGACCCTGGAGGTCTTCTAGTCCAGCCCCCTGCTCAAGCAGGAGAACCTATACCATCTCAGACAAGTGACTGTCCAGTCTCTTCTTAAAAACCTCCAGTGATGGAGCACCCACGATTTCTAGTGGCAAGCTGTTCCATTGTCCTCCCTGTCAGGAAGTTTCTCCTTAATTCCAGGTTGCTTCTCTCTTAGGTCAGCTTCCAACCAATATTTCTCGTCCTGCCCTCTGGTGCTTTGGAGAATATAAAATATAAAATAATATAAAATGTAAAATATATAAAATATAAAATAAATAATATAAAATAATATTAAAAAGTCAACTCAGAAGCTTTTTGCAGGAATTAGAAGAATTCCCTTGTCCCTCGCCAGGGGGAACCCCGGAGCCCTCCGCGCACGCGCACTCGCCTCCTCGCCCCGCTCTGCCCCCCCCTCCCCGCACACAGAGATAGAGACCAAAGCGCACAGAGCGGCCCCTCCTCGCCTCCCTTTAAACCCGGACTTCCGGGTCAGCGGCGCCCGGCCGGCCACGTGCGTTTCTTTCTGCCGGGCTGCGGGAGTCGCAGGTCGGTGGGATTTCCCCCCCCCCCAGTGCAGCCCCTCGGGGACGGAAGGGGGGGGTGCGGCGGCCCTGCCGGGTAGGACGCCGCCGGGGTGGGTGGGGGGCTGCTCCCCCTTTCCTAGGCTGGCCCCCCCATAGCCCAGGGGTAGGCAACCTTGGCTCTTTTAGGACTCGTGGACTTCAACTCCCAGAATTCCTGAGCCAGCTGTGCTGGCTCAGGAATTCTGGGAGTTGAAGTCCACGAGTCCTAAAAGAGCCAAGGTTGCCTACCCCTGGCATAGCCCATCCTCCCCAGCCGGTCTCCCGGGGGTGGCGGGTGGGAGGGAAGGAGGGCGGGAGTCCTTGCGCGCGCCCTCCCGTGCACGCGCGCCCCCTTCAGCGCCGCCTCTCCCCGCAGGGCGGATGGCCGAGCCGAGCGAGCCGGAGCGCGCCCTGCGCCGCCGCCTGCCCCGCCGCCTGCCCCGCCGCCGGGGCGACGTCTACGTGAACATGCGGACCGACTTCAGGGCGCAGCTGGGCCGCTGCCAGAAGCTGCTGGCGCCCGGCGGGGGCTGCGCCGAGCTGTGCATCCACGGGCTGGGCCTGGCCATCCCGCGCGCCATCAACATCGCCCTGCAGCTGGAGGCGGCCGGCGGCGGCGCCCTCCGCCTGGCCGCCAACACCTCCACCGTCCAGCTGGCCGACGGCGCCGAGCCCGAGGGCGACCGCGAGGAGCCGCTGACCCGCGCCCGGCACAACTCCGCCATCCACATCCGCGTCCTGCGCGCCGCCCCGGAGTAGCCGCCGGAGGAGGAGGAGCGCCTGGGGACCCCCACCCCGACCCAAAAGGGTCCCCTTGGAAAGAGACTTGGGGAGGGGGTGCCCTCTTTGTGTCCCCCCCCACCCTGGAATTAAAACTGCCAATAAAGGAGAATATTGAAACGCGTGTGAATAGTAGTAGCGGGGCTGCTGCTTTGATCTCCCAGCTTGGCCATGTGGCTGCAAATGTTTCGTCTCCATTGGGGGCAGGGTGTGGGGGGATAGGGGGATACATCTCAGTGCGCTGGGAATGGTGCTCAAGGAGACTATTTGTAGCTCCAGGTTGAAAGGAGGGGTCCTCGGGGGGGGTGCTCTCTGAGTTGGGGGTGGGGGTTTGCAGACGTTTCATGATCCAGCTAGGGAACGACATCGGTGCTAGGAGGAGGAGGCAGATGACGATTATGGGGTCCTTGGTGGTTTCTGAGCTGGGTGGTTTTCTTGCAGACGTTTCATGACCCATCTAGGGAACGACATCAGTGCTAGATGAAGCCCATCAATGATCATCAGAGTGAGGACATCGCCTAGCTCAAGGGTAGGCAACTTTGGCCCCTTCATGACTCGTGGACTTCAACTCCCAGAATTCCTAGCCAGCATGGGGGAACTATGGCCCCTTCATGACTGGTGGACTTCAACTCCCAGAATTCCTGAGCCAACACGGCTCAGCTTGGAAGTCCCTCCCTTTCCCCTCAGCGTGGCTGGCTCAGGAATTCTGGGAGTTGAAGTCCACGAGTCATAAAAGAGCCGAGGTTGCCTACCCCTGCCCTAGCTGGGTCCTGAAATGTCTTGAAAATAGTCATGACCCCACGATCCTCCTCCTCCTCCCCTCTGCAAACCCCACTCCCTTCTGGCACTGATGATGTTACTTAGCTGGGTCATGAAACATTGGCAAGGAAACCCCCAAGCTCAGAGAGCACCAAGGACCCCACAGGCCAGCCCTGGTGTGTTTTAGATGGAGCCCTGCTTCCGGATTCCGTGTGTGGGGTTGAGGCGCCAGGAGATTGGGTTTGGGGGGGGACAGAGGGGGTTAAGTCTGCGAGGGAGGGCCCCAAAGGCATTTCCGGGATGGAAGGGGTGTCTCTGCCCAGCCTCATTCCCTAAGGATTCATCTCCCGGTATGTGCCTGGGCAAGGGGTCCGTGGCAGCTGCCCCTTTCTCTCTGCCCCCCAAGTGGTGGGGTCCTGCGACTGCTGCGTTCCTCTCAGCCCAGCTAAGGGGTGGCCTCAATCAGCAGCCAATGATTGGGGAGCCCTTGGCAGCCTCGAAGCCCAGCGGGCCTTCGGGGAGCCCCCCACCCCACCCAACCGGCTTTGCTTCCTCTACCCGCCACAGCAGCTGCGACATTCTGCTTGGAAGGAACGCCTGCTTGGTTGGGGGTCCTTGCAGCCTGGCAGCATCAGCCCCCGCCCCCTTCTTGGTCTTTAATGGGGGGGGTGGCTGTTAATGGGAAAGGAGGGGCTGTGTCCCCTGTACAGAAGCCGGTTCCCCTTTTTCTCAACATGACTTGAAACGGTCATCAGTCTGAGTGAGACTTCTGCATTCTGTGAGTATTTTAAGACGGGTGTCCAACCTTGGCCACTTTAAGACTTTGTGGACTTCAACTCCCAGAATTCCTTAGCCAGCAAGGCTTTCCCAGAATTCAGCATGGACAGGACGGGAACATAGGTGGCTGGGCTACTTTATCACATTTTTTGATAAGCAGTGTTTCTCAACCTTGACAATTTTAAGGCATGTGGACTTCAACTCCCAGAATTCCACAGCCAGCATTGCTGGCTGTGGAATTCTGGGAGTTGAAGTCCACATGCCTTAAAATTGTCAAGGTTGAGAAACACTGTGATAGAGTAACTTGGAGGCAAGGCGGGGACTGCCGAGCGTTTCTGAAAATGTATTGACTTGGATTATTTTTTTTTCTGCTTGTGTATGTAAATGCATCATATTGGTATTTGTTGTTTAATTACAAAAATCAATAAAAAAATTATTAAAAAAAAAATTTCAGCAAAGAGAGAAAAAAAGCTAGCTGTGGAATTCTGGGAGTTGAAGTCCACAAGCCTTAAAAGGGGCCAAAGTTGGACACCCCTGATTTCAGTGAAGTCCAGCGGTCTTTCTTCTCAAACAGCTCAAAAAATATTGCGCCGTGGCTGTGCCAAAAAAGCCACGTGCCGCCCATGTCTGGAAGACCTATAAGTTGACCCAACGAATGCTCGGAATCGGAGGGGATTCCCACATGTCTTCCTGGGGTGAGAGCTGGGGCGGGAGGGGTTGACCTCTGCTGTTGTGTAAGAGCGTTGTGTCATCCAGGCTGCGTGTGAGAAGACAGCCTTATCTCAGCGGGCCGGAAATAGCGATTTTTCCACTGCCCGGCTGAGGTGGCACTGCCGATAAGAGGCTGGTTGGGGAGGGGGGGCAGAAGCAGCCCTGACGTCTTCACCCCTCCCGGAATTGTGCTGCTGGGGAGATGAGGAACGGAGGGCTTTCCTTCCTGCAAGGGGTGCGCACACACACACACACACACACACACATACACACACTCCTGCCCAGGTGAGCATCCAGAGTGGCAAGCCTTGTCTGACTTTGGGGCTTCTTCAATGCCTTGGTAAGGCCACACTTGGAATACTGCATCCAGTTTTGGTCACCACGATGTAAAAAAGAGGTTGAGACTCTAGAAAGAGTGCAGAGAAGAGCAACAAAGATGATTTAGAGGTCTGGAGGCTAAAACATA